TTTTTTTTTTTTAAAACCCCCCCCCCCCCCAAAAAAAGTCAGACCCCAAACATTTTAACAGTAGTTTTTTATTTATATTAAATGTAACGTTTATTTTACAACACTTTATAATGTGTCATTTATTCATCTAGGTTAATGTTCAAATCTACAACAAATCTATTAATATATCAGTAACAAACAAGAATTAGATTAATAAATGATTAAAATATTTAAAACAATACAAAAACTATTTTCATTGTTAGGTAGTGATAACAGACGTATTAACTATTGGTACCAAACTGAACCTTATTGTAAAGCGTTACCAACATTTTTTTGTTCATTATAATTATATATTTTTCTTTACCAAAAAAAAAAGAAACTGCAGCAAACTAGAAATTATACAGCTGTAACAGGCTGGAAAACAATGGTATTTCACAAACCATTTTTACAATTTTGACCAAACTTCATCCATGTTAGCCAGCTAGACAGCATTATATGACAATCAGCAGAATTGCCAAAACAAATGTTTAAATTTGCAAGGCATAAAAATGGATGTAAAACGATGATATTTAGTAGCAAACTGAAACAGGACTGGTCTGAATTGAGCAAGTGAGCATTCAATCAACTAGAACGTTGTCACACTGACCTCGGGGCAGAGAGCCATCCTATTACAGTTTCACTCTCTTAAATGTAAACACCTCTTTCTGTCTCTGTTTCTCGTTGCAGTTGGTGGCAGTGTTTGACGAACAAGAGCCTCATGTCGGAGGTGACGGCACCAGCGCGAGTTCAACGGGCACCCAGTCGCCTGAGATCTTCTCTGGAGAGCCGTCTGCCTTCCAACCGTACCTGCCCCACAGCGAGATAGAGGTCACCACATCCACGCTTCGTACCAGTAAGAGACAGATGAAGAGACTCTCATAAAGTTGTCTAGGTCTTTAAAAGTTTGAAATGTGCCACTGCTGTGGAAGTTTTGGCCTTTTGTGTCACTCATTGGTCTCTCGGTTTCTCACAGACATGCCTTTGCATGTTCGTCGCAGTAGTGATCCAGCACTGTTGAACCTGACAGCGATGTCGTTCTCTGAGCCTGGTTCGCAACCCGAAGAACCTTCCAGAAAAAATCCCACACGCTGGTCCACAACCGCCGGCTTCCTGAAACCACGTTTCTCCACCGGCACCAACAGTCTAGAGAGGAAGGTATGAAGCTGCTGTGAAGCTCCAAACATTTATAGTGGAGGAACATAAATGACTAAAGGGATATTTCACCCAAAATGATCATTCTGTCATCATTTACTCAACCTAATGTCATTCCAAAAGTTTAGGACTTTAAGTCTTCTTCAAAAGAAGCTAGTTTGACCTTAAATGTCTTTACAATGATGTGTTATTTTGGAACTCATTGACTTTCATTGTATGGACCAAACAGTTGAAAGATTCTTCAAAATATCTTCTTTTATGTTCTCCGGAAGAAAGTCATACAGGTTTGGATCAACATAAAGGTCATTTTTGGGTGAACTATCCATTTAATGACTTTCTCTGATGCTTATCGAGTGCAATAGTTGGGTTCTGGAAGTAAAAATTCCATTCATTTTCTCCGTAGGCAAATCGATTTTTAACCCTAACTTTTAAACCTATGTAAGACAGAGCTTTTGTGATTTCCAAGGTTGTTAATCAATGGTATATGCTTTTGTTGAAGCCACCAGTTTGCATTATTTCAAGAAATATTTTAATAACAAATTCCACCAAAAGAGTTCAGCGTGGAATACAAACTTACTCTCAATACGCTTTTTAAATACTTAAATATTTGCATATATATATGCATATTTTGCAATAAACTTAAAATGTTATTTCTATATATATGAACTTTAAACTAATAACTTTATTTCTCCATTGTTTTTTAATCTGATTAAAACATTCGTAATGTTTGATGGGATTGTCTTTTCCCTCATTAAAGTTAAGTACACGGTCTTATCTTTTTGTTCAATTCTTTAAATCATTTTTGCTTCAAGTAAAAGTTTGTGATGGTGTAATTCACAGTTGATTCATAGCTTATATCTCTTTAAACAAAGACTTTTTGAAAACCCCTATGAGAAGAATGAATGGACAAAATATTTCCGAAACCAGTGCCACAGTAAAAGTGAGCTGGCACTGTAGCACTCTATTAATGTTCACACAAATGTTGTCAAGATATTTAGAGGTGGTAAGTGCTAAGTGGGCGGCTGACTTTACTCTCTGAGTTGTTATGCTGTATTGCTGTTTGGAGGCCATTGGGTTCCTGCTTGTGTCGTTTCTCAGATCATATGCGATAAATTTGTCATCTTTAGAGGCAGAGGTCACATCACCCTTCATGACATCTCTATGAACATTTACTGTCATTTCTGAAGGGTTCACAACCCCGCATCTCACAAAACAGTAAGAGCTCTATAAACAAGCCGTGTGATGGGAGAGAATGTTGCACTGCTGTTTGTGTGTTTAATTTATCGTGTGCGTGTGTGGGTTCATTTAATGCATTTGCTGATGTGACCGTCATTTCTCTGTCTGTTCTGCTTCTAGCAGAGTAATGCTTATGTCAGTGCTAGTCATAAAACTCTCCAGACAATGAGTTATGGATTCGCTCGCTCTTTCATGCTCGCTCACACACTCTCTCATCTTGGTTATTCCTTTGTAGTATGAGGCTTTGATTTACAGCTTTTTCTTATCCATCAGCACAGTGTCCTCACAGACCAAAAATATTTGGGCATACATGGTGGTTTACTGGTATATTAAATTGTGATCTGACCATCCATGTGCATGTGAATCATTATTACCATTTGAACTAAGTAGGCAAGAGTTAACAGGGAGTTAACAAGTGTAAAAATATAATTTTTTTTTCTCTTCAGGGCCGAGGTGTCGACACATATCGTAGTCTTCCTCGTGATGCAGGGCAGCGGTCAAATCAGAAAGAGTTTCAGCGTGAAAAGGCCCGTTCCTCACTCAGCGCCAATCATCCCATGGTGGACTGCTGGCTGGAGCGACAGGAACAGGTTGGGACTGTAATGATTTAGATCTTCGTATTTAGATCTTCGTATGTATATCAGCATCAGCATCAGCAGGTGCGCTGCTCAGTGGCGCACTGCGTTTCAGTACACTGTGTTTGCGGTTTTGTTTGTTAGTCTAACGTTTATTCGTGGTTTGTTAAATTTGTTAAATGTGTGGTTCGTGGTTTCGTAAAAGTGGAAAGATGAAGGGTGGGAGAAATGTACTCTTGATTTGGATTCTGTGGACGATTGGCCTCTATGGATTATGTTTGGCGATGCAATCTCCAACTGCACGTGGAATTTTGGCAACATGTGGCGTCACAGTGCCGTATGCACGCCAGTATAGCCGGGAGACATTGCTGGAGCTAAACTTTACGATGACTGAAGAGATGAGAACAAGCCAATTCAGAGATTTGTTTGAAAATATTCCTCATGAGTTGGTGAGAATGAAACGAAAGAAAAGAGGACGAAGAGGCGGCATTCGGAGACGACTGCGAAGGAGATTCAAGCGGCCACCTCTGCCGTCTATTGTCTTCAGTAATCTGCGTTCTCTGAATAACAAAGTGGATATGATAAGATCGCACACA